TTAGTTGACAAAAAGTTATCGATATCGTGTTATCTGTGGTAGGGTTCTATAGTTGAAACGAAAAGTCGACTTTTCGACTTTTCAACTTTTTTCATTCAGTTAAAAGTCGACTTTTCGACTTTTTGTATTTTATGAAAAGTAGATTTTTCGACTTCTTTCATTTAATTAAAAGTCGACTTTTCGACTATAAGTATTTTATAAATAGTCGACTTTTCGACTTTTTAAGACTTTTCGACTTTTTTTGACTTTTCGACTTTTCGATTTTTTTCGACTTTTTGGCTATTTTCGACTTCTTTCGATTTTTTTTTGTTTTTTGACTTTTTTTCGAGTTTTTCCGACTATTTTAGAGTTTTTGACTTTATTTCCAATTTTTTAAAATTTCCGACTATTTTTGACTTTTTTCTACAATTTTCGAGTTTTTGACCTTTTCCGACTTTTCGACTTTTTCCGATTTTTTTCGACTTTTTCCGACTTTTCGACTTTTTTCGACTTTTCGACTTTTTACGACTTTCGACTTTTCGACTTATCGACTTATCGACTTTTTTCGACTTTTGGACTTTCCGACTTTCAGACTTTTCGATTTTTTTCGACATTTATTAACAAAGTCGACTTTTCGACTTTTTTCACAGATGATAGTCGAGTTATCGACTTTTTTGGAACAAAATAGTCGACTTCGACTTTTCGACTCTTTTCGACAAAAAGTCGATTGTTCGATTATTCGAACTTATAATTTTGTATAAAAGAAAATTAAGACGTAACCGTAACCTTGCTGTTTCAAAATCCATAAATAGAAAATGAATTAAAGCTCTGATACACAGTTGTCAGATCTTACAACGTTGTCAGTAAAATGTGCAGAAAATGTCCAACAATTGTGTGAACTTGCAATTGTTCTTTTGCAACGTTGTCAGAAAAAGCATTACTGACAATATTGCAAGATAAAATTTGTAAATTGACACCGTTGTTAGACATTTTCTGCACATTTTACTGCCAACGTTGTAAGATCTAACAACCGTGTATACATAGCTTTACGTTTTGTTTATAAACTTTCTTTAAAAACAATCAGTCGTTATTAGTATATTAATTTACAAAACATTTTTAAAAATATATAATAATCTATGATTTTTGTTTTTATACAACAATAAAAACCATTTGCAACATTGCCAACAACTTTAAAAAGTCGTAGAAGTAGACTTTTTAAAGTTAGTTTCATTAAAGCGTTTATTATTGTCCCATACAGTTGACATTACTTTTATTCAATCGTTTCATACGTTAGTTTTAGTTAAATAAATAGCGGGATCGTTTAATAAAGTGACAAACGGTGTAGGAAAATTAACATAAAACATTATAAAGCAAATCAATTTTAATAAAAGTTTACTAAAACTGTTAATAAATGTATAGTGCATAAATTTCAAGTGTTTAAATAATCAAAAGTTATGTATTCTCTAAGTTTTTCACGCATTCGTTTTGTTTCACGAAGACTCCGTGTCTCAATTTGGTGTCGGCCGGTGTTGGTTTTTAGTGAAATTTGTTATTAAATATTCATAAAATTAAAAAATTATTGTAAAAAATTAATAAGTGTTATTAAATAAATGCATTCATTAAAAGGAGGAGTTATATGGCCTGTTTAATAAATTAAATCCAATGGGAGAAAAGTGTCATATCATCCATCATATGTGTTTGTTTGTATGTGCAGTTGTTTAACAAAAAAAAAAGAAAAAATGTTTCCCTACTCCTCCTCCTTTATGAAAGTGTTTTGTTTGTTATGATTAGTAAAAAAGTCTTCTACTTCTCTTTTAGGCAAGTGTTTGTTGTTATTTGTTATGATTAGTAAATACAAAAGAGCAAGAGTAAGGAGTATTTATGGCCTGTTGCAAAAAATGAAATTTAAGTGCAGTGTTATACATATTTACAAACATACGTACAGATGTGTGTTTTTATATATGTATGCATGTGTTAATTGGTATGTTTATTAAAAAAAGAAGCTAAGATAAAAGCTCATTCTACTACTCCTTCTCTTGTTGTTGTTTTTTTGATGCAATAAGTGTAGTTTATGTATAGTAAAAAAAAATTGGAAATAAGTAAAGAAAATATGTAAATAGTGTTGTGTTTTAGAAATTTAACGGCTGTTTCTATTTGAAAATTAATATTCAATGAAAGTTCCAGTATTAAGGAAGGAAAAGGTAAGAAGGAAATGTAAATATTTTTTATGTATTTTTAATTATTGATATTTTTAAATAACAATGAAAAAATGATTTTAATAAAATCATTTTATTGTAGGCAAATATTTCAAATTTCTTTTTAAAACTTAAATTTATATAGCAAAGACACATTTCATTTCTATGTAAGAAAAAATGTTTTCTTAACTTTAGCCGATTTGTAAACCCTTACAATATACATTGAGTTATTTTTATTTCCTCTTTGTGTCGAATACAACTGTGCGTATCTTTTGTAGTTTCCTTTTCCCATTTTTGCTATCGGAAACACACAGTAATATATAAGTCAGGGATGGAAAATTTTATTAAGTTTCTTTAAGTAGATGATTTATATTATATATGTATATTTTTAAATTTTCTTATTCAAAATCAAATTTTAAAATGTTCATAAAAACTTTAACTTTAATCACTTTCGGATCGTTTTATATAAATTTCTCTCTATTTCCGTAATTTTTTTTTCCCCGATTGACCCATAATTGGCCATAGCTTTCATACAATGTTCGCAATTTCCAAGATAATTTGATGAAATTTAGCTTCTTTTGTTTCAAAAATGAAGCCTATTGAAAGCCTATTAAAATCGGTCCATTATTTCGCATAGCCCCCATACAACGATTTCCCCCGAATAGGGCTTTTGAGCTCATACTTATGTTTATTGTTCTAGTATTTCAACAAAAAATCGGCAAAACTTAGTTTTATAAAAGTTTAAATGATACTGCTGATTTTCGTAATGGCCGAGCCTCTTTTGACCCCAGCCTCCATACAAACTCCCCTATATACGATGAATATGTATGTATATATAGTTTCCTCTGCCAAAATTTATAAGAATAGGTCCACATTTACCTTACGTAGTGTTTACCTTGTAGAAACAAATGCTTTATTGTTGAAAAATCCCATATTTAACATACAGGTGTAGGGTATCATATGGTCGGTCATAAACTGAAATTTTAATAAAGAATTTAACTCTTTGTTAAAAATCTAATTTTAATTAAACAATTAAATTACATCGAACATTCCTTTTAAATTATTGACCTTTGACCCTAATTATGTTAAGTTAAAGAGCCAGTAGACTCAAGAAGACTACTAGTGGTCCGTTTATGTCAAACAAAAAGGATTTATACATCGATACAGCATATAATTCGATTACCAACGAATAAGAGTTGAGTTGAATCGAACCAACTTCTGATGCGAATTAACAAAACGATGTTGCGAAAGAAGTAAAAGTCTGCGGCCCTTTTCTTTTTTTGTCTTTGCCCTTTCCATTCAAAATAATTCGACATTCGCGAAACTGTATTAATGTAGTTTTGTTCACCCATAGAGATTTGATAGAATTGACTAAATTATTGCTAAAATTATTATTATTTTTAAGCACTAATTTCTTAAAATTGACATACATCTATTCCAAAAATGCATTATGTTATATGGGTTATTAATAACATTGCCAGAAATATTAATTTTTAAAGTTAAATGCACAAAACATTTTTTTACAATTTTTTCTTTTTTAAAGATGACAAAAATTAAAATATATTTTCTTTACTATTAAATGCCGCAAAATTGAGACAATAATAAAAATACAATGTCCGTACAATGTACTACATTTATATATTTGTATTTATCAGAATATGTTTTTGTCAAAACTCGCATTTGTTTACATACATATGTATGTATATCCCAGCAGTTCGATGTGATGGTCCTAAACTAAAAATTTAATCTAACATTTTCGGTTATTCCTAGTTATATACATACATGCCTCGATAATAAATGATCTCGTTTACTAAAGGACTCTAAAGTGACAATTGTCCTAACGCTAGATTACTAGGGAACTTTAAAGTAACGACTGACTTCTTGCATTATTACGAATACTGTATATTACAAGTAGACAAATTTTTGAGATAATTACTGTCCAAAGGTATACAGTGACTTCTTGTTGAACTACTGGATTATTACTACAACATACACAGACCCCAAATACATGGATAGTAATAACATAAAGTCCTCATTTCCGCTACAGCTTAAGAGCGTTCTTTCCTTTGGAATATTTAAAACAACAAAAGAAGAAAAAATTTAAAAAAACACAAACAAAACAAGAAGGATACAAATGAAACGCAAGTAAACGGGGAAAACAAACCGGAAGAACTTGACGAACTCTCGTTATTGTTACAGATGTTGTTGGGGTTTTATTTGGGTTGTTCTTGTTGTTTCGTAGTTAAAGTGGAAACCAGCAACAGTGTTGTGAGATGAACACTATCATATTGTATGTATGTGTGGTCATAATGTAATGAAACTAATGTGTGGTGCATGTTAAGTGATAGAAATGGTAAAGTGAGAAATTTGCACATTAATGGGTGACTGGAACTTTAAACAGTTTCTTAGCTTCATGGTAGAATAAAGTTTATTTCTCTACCACCTTGAATTTTTTAGCAAAATTATATTAAGAGCCATATTTAAGAGTTTCCTTTCACATCACCTTGAATCACTTAAACATCACTCATTTGTAATAAGTTGCGGCTTTTATATATACACACACAGAGCTCTCTCTCTCTCGTCCATTTCCTCACCAACCATGGGTGGCCAATTTTAAGAGACTTTATTTCGTCTGCTTTAGCTGCTTGAAAAAAAAAAAACACCGGATGTCTTTTGTTTCCGGTTATTTTACCCTTTGTTTTTGGCAAAACATAATACCTTATCAAGCCAATTCCCATTTGACAAAACAATAGGAATCTCGAGAGAGGTTTGTTTAGATTTTGTTTTTCTATTTTTATTTTGTTAAACGACTAAAAACAATCAGAATTTTATTTCGTTTAAATGTGCTATTTATTAAATACTTCTTCACTCATTGAGACTTTAATCCAAAGTACAATTAGCCATATCGAATTCCATACTTTGTGAAACAAAGAATTCAATTAATTTTGACATCGACACATCATTCAACATGCCATTGATGTTGGGCAATAAAAGTTGGGCATAGATTTCATCTACTTGCACTTGTATCTGTTGAGCCCACATCAAAGTCAATTCACTGCCAAATTTATTGACAAAATTATTGAATGATATGTCCCACAAAGTGTTCCAATTGTTATTGATGACATTGCCCACATAGAAGTGTAAATTGAAATCAGAAACACTTAAACTGTTGGGATTTTCCAAACTGGGTGTTAGGGCAAACTCACCCACCATACGGAAGTCAACGATTTTGACATTTAATAAACCTTTACCAGCCATTTGGGCAGGGAAACCGGCCAAATAAGCCATGGCATCCATTTCATATTCACCCAAACCTTGAACTTCGGGGAAGATTAAATCAAAGGAGGTGCGATTGGTGGTGGTATTGAAGTTGCCACCCAACACACGGAAGTTATTCAAACCGGTCACCACCAAATTGGAAACGTTGCCACTAATTCTATGAATTAAAACAATTGTTTGATTTTTCAAATAAAACGTAAATAAATCTTAGAAAACACTTACTTGTAGTAGCCATTGGTTAGATTGAAGGAATAGTAATCCATAGAGAAGGGTGCCAAGACAGGTATTTTGAGGGGAGGAAAACCACAAGGCATTATTTTTTGAAAGGCAGTGTAGTACATTTTCAAGGCTGTGCCAAAATCGATGGTGCTGATTGATACATTACCATCCTCAGCATACAATGCTGAGTAAAAGTATAAGTAATAAATAATATTTATTAAATAATTTTTAACTTCCAACTAACCTGCTGTTTGGGCTCCTTGCAGGCATAAAGCTGCTGCCACTAAAGTTACCAAAATGTAGGTTTTCATTTTTTACCGTAGATAGCTAGTACTTTGTCGTATGTTTTCAGCTGAAAACTAAATCAGTTTTATATTTTTTCAGTGAGCTTTATATCGAAAGCATTTTTCTCTGTTACTATTATCGAAATTTGTCTTATCTATCTAACCAAACCAATTAATTTGATGGATTTGATTTTGCGTTTTTTATATGTAGTTCATATCGTTTTTTTTTATCATAGGGAACTACCTGTTAATGTATAAAGTTTGTTTTTAGTTTTAAGCCATTTGACTATTAGTCATTATGTGTTTGTTATTTTTGCATATTACCTTTTAACAAAATTACTTGATAGCAGACTATGTTTGTGTAAATTGGTGACACATTTAGCTAATAAATATATAATATCGAGTCCTTTTTGCAAAATGGACGTAAGCGACTTGATTTTCGATTTTCGTTTTTTGATAGAAATCGATAATTTAGGTCCATTAGCATCATCTCTAAAAATTTCGTAGCTATAGATCCAATTTTTTCAACTTTACAAGAAAAAGAAAAAAGACGTATGTACACATTAATTTTCTATTTATGAATTTTGTAACAGCAAAGTGTCGGTTACGTCTAAATTTTCTTTTAAAATATATTAAATTTATAGAAAATTTTTGAACAAATTTACGTATTAAATTTGTTTCTGAATGAAATGCCACATATCTGAGTATAATTGTAATAAATTCATGTAATTATCACTATGCCATTGCAATTTATGTGCTAAAATTTATAATTTTCTATAACTTTTTATGAATTTAGTTCATTCTAATTACTATTTACATTGCATTTATATTATTACCATTTAACCAACTCTTATATTTGGTTGTAAATTTGTGGATTTCGGAAGGCAGACCTGTATATGGACTCTTAATGAATCAATACTCCCAGAATTTACTTATTTATTCGATATAAGGCGAATTGTACTACCATATATGGATTTTAATGTAGACATCAGGGTGATTTTCAGATTACGGCCTTTAATGAGGGATTAGGTCAATTGTGGACCGAGGTCTATAGAATTTAAATGCGCGATTAGTTTTGAAAGCAATTTTTTTTGTAGAATTCTATCATACTTTCTTAATTTTTGAAAGATTTATTAACTGTAAACTTATTTTCTGTATGAGTAGCATAGGAAACTATCCTAAAACATCATCATACATCAAATTTCGTTGCTATACTGATATTTTAAGACTGCTATGGTCATAAAATCATTGTCTTACAGGGTCTATATATGCAGGCTAGGGTTAAATATTGCCTGACATCTGTCATACTTCCCAACATAATTTACAGGTATATATAACCGACTTCTGCAAAATTTTATAGCGATTGCTACATAAACAACATATTTATTAATGTTTTAACTATAATCCGGGAGGTACTTGTATAGGGGCTAAGTGAAATCAAAAACCGATTTTGCCCATTATTAACACAAAAGAATATTTGTCATTAATAAGCATTTTTGGAGAATTTCATCACTCTAGCTCATAACTTATCCGCACGCAGAGAAAAAACATGGTTCAAAATGGTTACTGCAACTATCCCATGTTTACTGTAACAATATATTGTTTTCAAAAACATATAATTGTTATTTTAATTAGATTTTAACAATATTTTAGTTACTGTAAACATTTTCATGTTCCAGGCAATTATAAATTTGAGTATAATTCACTGAATCATAATTATTTTTACAACAACTAAATACTGATAACAAGCAAAACATATTCTGTTATTAACAACCATTTAAACTTGCAAATAACCACAATATGTTATGTTATATAACCATTGTATGTTATGTTGTTATAAATAATCATTATATGTTATGTTGTTATATGTCTGCTGATACATCAACAAATTAATACAACAACAAAACAACTTTTGCTCACACAGATTACTTTTTCGTGTGTTTTTTTTACGCGACAATAAAATGAGTTGAAATAATTCTCATTTGGTTTATAGCATTAAATGTATAAGTATTTCAGTTTGCAAAGAATAATGTAGTTATGTTTTTGTGAATCAAATTGAAATTTGCAAAGTGTGTTAAGTATTGTAAGTATGTTATCTTTATTCATATATATATTTTTTTACTTTTTTTAGAAACTGTAATTTTACTGATTCAGTAAAATTTATTTTGATTTCGATACATATTTTTAAATTTTGAACACATTGGATCATAATATGATCATGTATAACAATATTATTATGATAAATAGAAAAATATTATGATGAAATATTTTAACGGTATTTAATCATAATATGATATTTTAAATTTGTTACAATAACGATATTATGTTAAGACTACAATCATAATTTTAACCATAATATGTTGCTCTTAGAACATGGTTACCACAACCATGTTTTTTCTCTGCGTGCGGTTTTCAACAAAAAGACTGACATACAGACATCCCTGGATGATCTTAAAATCTTATACAAAATATTTATTACACTCTTAAATTTCAGATTTATACAAATTATATAAAGATGTACACCAAAAAATATTTTTTTAGACAGAGAATTTAGACGTAACCGCCTCAACATTTTTTATATCATAAAAATTTGTCTCGGCAAAAAAGACGTAAGCGACAAAAAAATCGGATATAGCGTCAATATAAAATCGAAACAAACTGCATCTTATATTTTAGATGTAATAATATTTATTAACGGAGTTTTGGAGTAATGCTATGTCCTACTTCGAAGATAATTATAAAAATGCTCTCCTGTAAAATTTAGTTTTTGTCGGTTACGTCTTTTGTGCGAAAAGGGCTCGATATAGAATTATTAAGAGTTCTAGACATTTTGTTTATTTTTGTATTATATCTCTTATATGCCTGTAAAAAATATAGTTTCGAGTAAAACGACTACTTTACATTTTAATCTAGTTTCTGGTAAAAAACTTATTATCCAAATAGCAAATTACATTGATATGAAGAAATTTGATAAAAACTCAGAAAAGTTTCCCTTATTTAAAGATATGTAGATAAACATTGGTTTTGCATTTGTTACTGGCTATATTTTGAAATAAACTGAAAAACAAACCACAAGTCTTTGAATTGAGGAAAATGCATTTTCAAAATTTGCAATAAAAATTACAAAAAATCTTAGAGTTTTTTAAAATTTGTAGCTCATTCTTCTAGATCTATTATTATTTGATAATGACTACATTAGATTATAGCGATACGAACCGCTAAGACCCAATATTGAAGTCTACAATCTTAATCAGTGAGAAATTAAGAATACCTCAGAGAAACTTCGCTCCATAAGTAGTGGCAGTATGCTTAAACGTTTGATGCTATATTCTAAAATATAATTGAGTAATCCGAACTCAATTGAATCGGAACTGTGTCAGAAGTACGGTTTACCATATTATCAATTTTAGCCCGTACTAATGCTTATTGGGATCAAATTGTCCTCACAATTTCATTATATCTATGTTAGAAATCAAATTAATGCTTCAAGCACCAATGCACAGTTTATGTTCTCGATTTTGTAATCAATCCCGATGTGTACCTATTTTAAATATGGAAATATCATACTTAAATTTTCTAGAAATTTTTTAGATTAAATTGAGAATAATCAACTTAAATCTAAAAAATGTATAGCAGAATGGGCTGTTGGTAGCTGAGTCCACAGGGTCCAATAAGTAGTCACATTAGTATTCTAGTATTCTGCCCTACCTATGATTAAAGGACAATGCAGTTTTATTGTTCGGCAATCCTATATTTCAGATATACATATATTCTTAAGATCCTTGTGTTTCCCTTCAAGCTCATCCTAGTAATGTTTTTGCTAACTTCCCTTAAGACATTCCAAATCCCTTCTGGAACTTAGGGATACAAATACCACAATAATAATAATACAAGTCGTATCATCATTAACAGGCCAAATTTAGTTCATAACATCTCTGATCCACTCATCGTAACTACATTTCCAGACTAATTTGAATTCTTCTTGAATACTGTGGCTCTCAGCTACGATTATTATTAGCTTTAATAATTTCTGTTTCTTCAACTTAAGGCTTCATGCACTCGAACTACAGCTTACCGGTCAATACTTACTTATTACTATTGAATTTTTTTTTGCTAGATGTCCCACTCGCAAGATTTTAGATATCCCACTACAAAGATTTTATTTGAGTAAAAAAAGGGATTTTAGGAAACTATGAAGAACTTCGACCTCCTCTAAGTCCGACAGCTCTTGACCTATTTGAAAATTTGTGTCTGGCCTACTATCCAATTGTACTAACCTTAGTGCAATTTTCATCCAAATTGATTGAGTTGGGTCACTTGACACGAAAATGCCCATATGTATTTCTCTGTACTTAACGTTTCTAACTTGTATGCCCGACCGATTGACCAAAATTATCAAAACTACTTACAACATTACGAAAATTAAGAAGGTAAAACATTCATTTTAATTGGGACATCTTTTTAAACAATGACTACAACTCATTGACATAAGGGACACATTCATAACCATCTGATGATTAACTAAAAAAGCATTACAATCCAAACAAGTAAGAATTTATTGTCGGGCGAGGCCGACCATATAATATCCTACAACTGTTATAAAAATAGTTTTCATAATAAGGCATTGAAGTTGAATTGTACCTTGCATTAGATATACTTATGCCATTTATTGCTGAATAAAATTGTGGACACTTAAGTCAAATTTTGAAGGGGCTTTTTATAGGGGCTAGGGTCAAATGAGGCCCTATAATTATAAAATTCATGAGGGTCATTAAGGCTAGTATAGAACTTGGTTCTACAGCTTTTTGTCGAGATACGTGTATATTAAACATAATTATGAACTTAAAAGGCCTATTCGGCGGGTTCAGTTGTATGGGGGCTAGGTGAAATAATGCACCGATGTTACCCATTTTCAATAGCATTCGTCTCCGGTACCATAGAAGATCATGTGCCAAATTTCATTGAATTATCTTCAAAATTGCGACCTGTAGTTTGATTACAGGGTTTACAAGCCCTATTCGGGGATTCAGTTGTATGGGGGCTAGGTGAAATAATTGACCGATCTTAACCATTTTCAATAGGCTTCTCTGG